TTGATCAGGAAACATTAAAAGGACCATGATGCCTGTGTAGTCGCTGAATGAACTCTTTATGTTGTGTCTGTTCTATTTATGTGAATGTTTCTGTTGTGTTGTTTTGATATGAGAAAAGAGTCCTTGTTGTAATCACAACAAATTTCTATCTTAGTCATAGTCTCAACGAAAAGTTGGCCCTCCAATATTTCCGCTGTCTACTGACTCAGCCATCAGTACCAGGGGCGGACTGGCTATATGGGCATGCGGACAAATGCCCCATGGGCTGGCCCAAATTGGCCGGTAGGGCCACCGAAAGGGCCTCATGGGTGTCACTATGACACGTTAAATTGAGGATTTATAATATTCTGTGATAAAAGTGAATTAAGCGTCATGTTTAAACAATCTTTTACAGTGTAAAACGAATGTAATCTAGCCCTTTTATTTTCCGAAATAATGTAATTGCCGAAATCCGTAGACAAGAGGCGCGCTGGCTGAGTGGTAAAGCGCTTGGCTTCCGAACCGAGGGGTCCCAGATTCGAATTCTGGCGAACACTGATTTTTAATTTCGGGATCCACCCAGCTTTAATAGGTATCACAGGGTACCTGACATGGGTTGGGGAAAAATTAAGGTGGCTGATCGTTGCTTGCCACATGACACCCACGTAAACTATCATCTGCCCCATAGATCGCAATTTATTTACATGCATGCGTAGACAGTGCTACTTGTAGGTTTTAAAAGCAACACAAGGTTTGCATTATCTTATATATCAAATATTATCTTATAACATTATGATAAACAATTCAGGGGCCGCATTGTAAAGAAATGCCCATGACTATTTTGACACCCAGTCCTCCCCTAATCAGTACCCATATTTTAGCTGTCTAGCGACTCTGCCTTCAGTCGGCTACGTGTATTTCAGATGACTAGTAACCCAACAGACAATACGTTTCTAGACTAGTCACCAACTAGAGACACATAGCACGCTGAACAGTGCTTGCAATTCAATAGCTCGAACCTCTATGGCTTTCATTATGAAATAATGCAGTGACACTTTTATCCCTATTAGATAGTTCTTGTGTTGTCCAGCCCGAGGTACCCCAGTACCAGAGCACGTACTTCACATTACCCAACAATGGAAACCACATTTCTCTGCCTTCCCTTGGGTTCAGTAGACCTTTGGACTTCCTATCCAGTAATTTGTATCGCAATTACTTCATTGAAAGCTACATGTAGACAAATGTAACTCGGTCCACCATACTTCTTCATGACATACGGCATGTCATCCATGGGAGCAGGTTAATGCTGTTGTGGTGTGTTCGTCAATGGTTTGATTATACAACAGCCTGGTTTATACAAGACCATGCTACACCAGCCAGTGTGCCTCATTGCCATAACAGCTGGAGTATGCTGTAATACAACAGAGTATGCTGTAATACAACAGAGTTTGCTGTAATACAACAGAGTTTGCTGTAATACAACAGAGTATGCTGTAATACAACAGACAGAGAATGCGGTAATACAACAGAGTTTGCTGTAATACAACAGCTAAAGTCGCCTAAAGTATGCTGTAATACAACAGAGTATGCTGTAATACAAGAGTTTGCTGTAATACAAGAGAGTATGTAGTCACAAATCTGACTCAATAGACAGAATGTTGCAACGTGCATCACTATCACATCAGCTAGAGTGTGCTGCAACAGTCAGTTTACTGCCACAACAGCCAGTTTACTGCCACAACAGTCAGTTTACTGCCACAAACGCCAGAGTTTACTGCCACAAAAGCCAGAGTTTACTGCCACAACAGTCAGTTTACTGCCACAACAGCCAGAGTTTACTGCCACAAGTCGGTTTACTGCCACAACAGCCAGAGTTTACTGCCACAACAGCCAGAGTTTACTGCCACAACAGTCGGTTTACTGCCACAACAGCCAGAGTTTACTGCCACAACAGCCAGTTTACTGCCACAACAGCCAGTTTACTGCCACAACAGTTAGAGTTTACTGCCACAACAGTCAGTTTACTGCCACAACAGCCAGAGTTTACAGCCACAACAGACAGTTTACTGCCACAACAGCCAGTTTACTGCCACAACAGTCAGTTTACTGCACAACAGCCAGAGTTTACTGCCACAACAGTCAGTTTACTGCCACAACAGTCAGAGTTTGCTGCCACAACAGTCAGAGTTTACTGCCACAACAGTCAGTTTACTGCCACAACAGTCAGTTTACTGCCACAAAAGCCAGAGTTTACTGCCACAACAGTCATTTTACTGCCAAAAACAGCCAGTTTACTGCCACAACAGTCAATTTACTGCCACAACAGTCAGTTTATTGCCACAACAGCCAGTTTAATGCCACAACAGTCAGTTTACTGCCACAAGAGCCAGAGTTTACTGCCACAACAGCCAGAGTTTACTGCCACAAGTCAGTTTACTGCCACAACAGTCAGTTTACTGCCACAACAGTCAGTTTACTGCCACAAGTCAGTTTAATGCCACAACAGCCAGAGTTTACAGCCACAACATTCAGTTTACTGCCACAAGTCAGTTTACTGTCACAACAGTCAGAATTTACTGCCACAACAGTCAGTTTACTGCCACAACAGTCAGTTTACTGCCACAAAAGCCAGAGTTTACTGCCACAACAGTCATTTTACTGCCAAAAACAGCCAGTTTACTGCCACAACAGTCAGTTTACTGCCACAACAGCCAGAGTTTACTGCCACAAGTCAGTTTACTGCAACAACAGCCAGAGTTTACAGCCACAACATTCAGTTTACTGCCAAAAGTCAGTTTACTGTCACAACAGTCAGAATTTACTGCCACAACAGTCAGTTTACTGCCACAACAGCCAGAGTTTACTGCCACAACAGTCAGTTTACTGCCACAACAGCCAGAGCTTACTGCCACAACAGCCAGAGTTTACTGCCACAAAAGCCAGAGTTTACTGCCACAACAGTCATTTTACTGCCAAAAACAGCCAGTTTACTGCCACAACAGTCAGTTTACTGCCACAACAGCCAGAGTTTACTGCCACAAGTCAGTTTACTGCAACAACAGCCAGAGTTTACAGCCACAACATTCAGTTTACTGCCAAAAGTCAGTTTACTGTCACAACAGTCAGAATTTACTGCCACAACAGTCAGTTTACTGCCACAACAGCCAGTTTACTGCCACAACAGTCAGTTTACTGCCACAACAGCCAGAGCTTACTGCCACAACAGCCAGAGTTTACTGCCACAAAAGCCAGAGTTTACTGCCACAACAGTCATTTTACTGCCAAAAACAGCCAGTTTACTGCCACAACAGTCAGTTTACTGCCACAACAGCCAGAGTTTACTGCCACAACAGTCAGTTTACTGCCACAACAGTCAGAGTTTACTGCAACAACAGTCAGTTTACTGCCACAACAGCCAGAGTTTACAGGCACAACAGACAGTTTACTGCCACAACAGTCAGTTTACTGCCACAACAGCCAGTTTACTGCCACAACAGTCAGTTTACTGCCACAACAGCCAGAGTTTACAGCCACAACATTCAGTTTACTGCCAAAAGTCAGTTTACTGTCACAACAGTCAGAATTTACTGCCACAACAGTCAGTTTACTGCCACAACAGCCAGTTTACTGCCACAACAGTCAGTTTACTGCCACAACAGCCAGAGCTTACTGCCACAAAAGCCAGAGTTTACTGCCACAACAGTCATTTTACTGCCAAAAACAGCCAGTTTACTGCCACAACAGTCAGTTTACTGCCACAACAGTCAGTTTACTGCCACAACAGTCAGTTTACTGCCACAACTGTCAGTTTACTGCCACAACAGCCAGAGTTTACAGCCACAACAGACAGTTTACTGCCACAACAGCCAGTTTACTGCCACAACAGTCAGTTTACTGCACAACAGCCAGAGTTTACTGCCACAAAAGCCAGAGTTTACTGCCACAACAGTCAGTTTACTGCCACAACAGTCAGAGTTTGCTGCCACAACAGTCAGAGTTTACTGCCACAACAGTCAGTTTACTGCCACAACAGTCAGTTTACTGCCACAAAAGCCAGAGTTTACTGCCACAACAGCCAGAGTTTACTGCCACAACAGCCAGAGTTTACTGCCACAACAGCCAGAGTTTACTGCCACAAGTCGGTTTACTGCCACAACAGCCAGAGTTTACTGCCACAACAGCCAGAGTTTACTGCCACAACAGTCGGTTTACTGCCACAACAGCCAGAGTTTACTGCCACAACAGTCAGTTTACTGCCACAACAGCCAGTTTACTGCCACAACAGTCAGTTTACTGCCACAACAGCCAGAGCTTACTGCCACAACAGCCAGTTTACTGCCACAACAGTCAGTTTACTGCCACAACAGCCAGAGCTTACTGCCACAACAGCCAGAGTTTACAGCCACAACAGACAGTTTACTGCCACAATAGTCAGAAAGTGTCAGTCACTAGCTACACTTAGGTCTGAACTTGAGCAGAGTATCGCCCAGACTGTGGGAGCCTAAGCCCAGAATTTGTGTTTATGAAAGTAAATGTACTAGTTATGTACCCTGCTTTTATGTTTCAGATTCCTCTCTTTTTGTTTTTTGTTCTCAAATGTAACTCTTATAGTAAATACTGATGGCCTATTGATACATTTGTCTCATAAATGGTGGACCTATACCTGTACATTCTATATAAAGCAGGTAACAGTGTGAATACACAATACAAACTTGCATACCAATGTAGAGAGAAAAAAAAAAAAGGGGGGGGGGGGCTGATGGGTTCCGTAAACACAACTATTGTGAAGTACTTCAGTGTTGTGACTTAAATGAATACTTATTCTCAGTAGGTAATGTACCCCTAAATAGCGGGAACAGTGTGAAATAATCAAATCTAAGTTCTCTAACCAATGACCTTTTCCCCCACCAATTTTAAGTTTAATATTACATTTCAACATTATAGTACAAATATCTTAATGCTGGAATGTATCAGATAGCCTTTATTATCCTTATATTTTTTTAAAAAATGAGATGAAAACACAGGAAACATTTAGACATTAATTTAATTGTTTTAAAACTTCATGACAGTTTCCTATATATATATAGATCATGTTTTGTTCCAACTAAAACTGAACAAAATTACAAAAATAATTTCTGTACATCAACTTCTGCACAAAACCATGGAACAATAAATTATACACAACCTTGTCCACTCACACGCAAGCAATCAAACTATGTTCACACACACCTCATCAACCATCCAACCTTGTCATAAGAATTGCCTTTTTGGCTGACACTTTAATTGGAGTGACCAGCACTCCAGAACTAACATGTAACAAGATTTTTTCTGAACTACAAACAAGAAATAATGTTGCAGAGCAATTAGCTTTTAGTTTTGAACACAAGTGTTACTAACATTTCTTGATCTTTAAACATGGATCTAAGTGAAAGAACATGAACTAACAATCCAGTTTATTGCATTATAAACTCATTTCAGTCAATTAGGTATTGCATGTAACAAACCATTGCTCTCATAATTTAATGAACTGTTTGTCAGTCTAAAGGATAGGCTATTGAACACTAAGAATAAATATCTAATTATCTAGCTGGAGAACCAGGACGGCTAAATTCTCAAGACAAATAACTTTCCAAGTGGACACCTCACAACACTGTGGAAGACCACAACTTCAAAATGTTTTCTACAAACACACACTGGTTGCTGTGAGCTCAAATGTGAAATCCCTGTGGTTGCACTAACCAAATGACCCTTCCCCATTAGAGGACAAGGTCAGCTCCCTGAGTAATTTAAGATGGTAAGTTTAGCACAACTGAGGTTATCAATTAGACCTCACATCTGTAACACTGGCTCATGTTACACACACACACACATAAAATGCCCTTCCCCAGTACCACACACATGCCACTATACATGCCTCACACTAAATATTGAGATTAGATATATATATATTTATAAATATATATCTGTGTGTATATTTGTATTTATAGTTTGTACACAATTAAAACAATTACCTAATTGCAGCCAAGCCATCTGTACCCTCACAACCAACGTAATGGTGTACCCAAACATTTGAGTTCAATAAATATACAATGTACATAACCTGACCAAACAACACTTTGGGACAGAAGCTGCAGCACTGGCACAGATATGTTTCCCTTGAACATGCAATGATACTACACAAATGTCTTCTCTTATTTTCTTGTAAGATAATCTGACCCAATGTAGGGAAAATAATTTGTATGTTGGTGTTAGTTTCCAGAGGTGAAGGTGACCTATATTTTTCATGTCATGGAGTAGAGAAGTAAACCTCAGCGCTAGATCATACTTGAGAAAAGTTCTGCTGCTTCTATTGAGGTCAGCGCAGAGCTGCACAGCACAGTGGTCAACATTAACTTAGAATCACAGCTACAGCAGTAGGCCTCTGAGCACAGAGAAAAAGGAGGAAGGGGGGGGGGGGGGGTAAATCCTATTGGCCTATCAGACTTCGTGTCATAACTCCTGCCTGTCCACTTTGACAACTATTTTGCCTTGCCACATGGGAACGATAGTATTGTCATCTGAGATTTCTTCAAACACAGCACCTGCTCCATCAGCAAATTCATCACTCTGACGTTTAAAGTAATATCTGCCAAGTAAAAAGTAAACCATAGTAAAACATCACATCATACAGTTATTGAAATTACTGCAATAATTGTCCTTTAAAACAAATAACAAGACAAAATCATGTACTGAGGTTAAAACAAAAAGTTACAAAATTAAATAATTAATTGTTTAAAAGACTAGAAACAAAATGCTTAAAAAAAAAGTAATGTTTAGAAGGATCTCTTTTGTTATAGAATAGTTAACTGCAACTAATTAGTTGTAGTTTTGTTAGTAAAGTAATGAAAGAACTTTTCATCAAGTGCAACTAAGCAGTAAAGCCAGGAATCATTTACAAGTGCTGAGATCTGTAACAACAGGCTCATTAGCACTTGTCCTAAGAACTGGAAGCCAACGCCTAAAACCTGGGCCTCACAGAGTACTCAGAAATGTATTTAAAAGGACAATCTGTTTGTTTAGGACATTAAGCAGCCTTCAGCTAATAAATGAATTGAGTTGCAATATTCATGCAAAAATAATTATTTTTGTAAACTCAAAACAAAAGGAAATACAAAGAGGACTTAGATCAGAGACTTACTTGAATACTCCTCGTTTGGTGATCAGCGTTTTGATCTGAGCTAAGGTGATGGCACGACCTGGTAATTGGTGTCTGTAAGGGATAGGTTCTGTGCCCATGTAGATACCTATAATGGTTTCGTTGGCTGGCTGGCCTAACCGATAACTGAAACAGTCATAAACACAGAGATCATAAATTGGCTGCAACATATGACTGGAAATTTATCACAATATCAAAATGAATATACAAAATTAAAGTTGCAAGAATCTTGAAACAGAATACAGAGATTATTAGCAGCAAAAAAGTAAAACCAAAACCTATATTGAGTGAAACTGCATCAATTATTTTGAATCAATCATGCAATTAATTTGTAATAGATCTAGACTAACAATAATTAAATTCATGCCATTGGAAACATTTTTATTTTTTGTTCAGCACAATTTTCATAGCATGCTCAGTGCCCTATGATTCAATCACTTTTGTGGACAGTTGAGGAATGAGTAGTTGGTAAAAGATTTGTGTTTCCTTTACAAAAGCATTTTTTAAAAAGTTGCTGAAATCTGAAATCAAGGTCTCAAGCCTCTATCATGGAAGACAGGCACATTAGCTATTCAAATATTTAAAAAAACAGAAGGTTTTTAGCTTTTTTTTTCCTACACAAGGATTATCCCCCCTTGGCTAAAACACTTTCTATATAAATCTAAATTAATTGATGACGATTATTGATGAGCTAACGGATTAATTTTTTGATCAATTCATGTGTTGTCATCGACAATGAATAATTGTGTGTGGAAGTGGGAGAAATGTGTACAAAATTCCGACCAGACAGACTGGCTTGATGTAAGTAGTTTAATAATAAATAAATGTTAAATAATCTTTAAAGTTAACATGAACTTACTCTAGACTTTGACTAGCTGAGGAGTTGTCCAGTTGTGTGGTTACATTTCTAACTGGCTGCACTGATCTCATGTTAGCACCTGCTGGTAAAGGTGTACCACAAGGTGGTGGCCGCATACCCGTAAAACTTCTGAGGAAAAGAAACAGCAATAGATATTGTGTCTACTCAAAATCACAAATAGTACTTCACAACTTAAATCATTGGACATTGAAGTTCCCACATTAACAACTATCCCAGAGCCATGAAATCCATAAATCAAAACTTAAATATAGCAACCAGCTATTTAAAATCTAATACAAGTTGCAGAAAAAAAATGTTATGTAATAACATCATTTCTAAATAAAATTTAGTTTTTTTTAAGCATTAAAAAGAAAATGAGGGGAAAAGAAAAGATGTCAAGACAATTAAACCACAAAAATATCCCCAGTAAATAAGTTGTTGACAACAATTCTAGTTTTACATTATATATCTATCTATCTATATTTATCTATATATATCTATTATATATCTACATCTATATATATTTATAATAGGTTGAACCTAATGGAAGAAAAAGAGCCTGATACAATACTAACTTGCATTTAGCTGGAGAAGCTGAAGTTATCGTTGCTCTGGACTGGGTCTCAAGTCTTCTTTTGGCTTCCTCTAGTTGGGTTGTTGGATTTGGTGGTGTTAGCAGAGGCATAGAAGAATCTTGGGCAAAAGGTTGGCTTGGCATGATTGCAGATGGTCCATTCCAGGCTCCCCTGTCAGCTCTATCAACAGATGTGGATCTTGGAAAAGCTTTAGACTTCGTACTGTACAAACATAAATACAAATTTAAAACAAAAGATAAATGTTTGTTTTATGGACAGCGCATACTTAAGTGTCAGTTATAGTTCTAAGAGCTAAGATTGATTACAATATAGCTATATATATATATATATATATATACCCAGAGATAGGATAACTTAGCTACATATGGCTGGGCTCAGAATGTAAACTCTGTAAGAGTCTTACATAAAATGTAATTACAGTTTGGCACTGACCTTGGCCGTGACTGTTGTGCTGGAACGGCTGACTGATTCAACTTTTGTGCTCGCCTATGAGAGGAAGAACTCTTATCCACATCTGGTACAAGAGTAACATCGGGATGAACTGAATCACTATCCATCATCCATTTCATAACCCTATATAGTGAGAGACAAGAATTGTTCATTAAGACTTCACACTAGCTTCAGAATTAAAAGGATCGTTAAGTCAGGTTAGACATAGTGACTTTTCTTTGCCATTATGGGAAAATAATGCACTAGACTGAAGCTGACATAAAAACATTTAAAATCAAAAATAAGATGAATAGAAAAATGTCAACCATGAATTTTTTTTTAGTCCAGATTGGAAACTTGAAAATGAGTTTGGACAAGTGTCCACTCATGACTGAAACAATGGAAACTTGAAAATGAGTTTGGACAAGTGTCCACTCATGACTGAAACAATGGAAACTTGAAAATGAGTTTGGACAAGTGTCCACTCTATGACTGAAATAAAGATTCAGTAGATATGGTTTCTGGGGGATGATGATTCAGAGACACATCATTTGAAGGAACTTACATGAAAGATTTCAAAATCTCGAGATTCAATTAATTTTAAAAGAACATACACAAAAACTACTTACTTTTCATTGGTTGGGTTATTCCATGCTGGTGGTATTTTAACAGAATCCATAACACTGATGCCACTATCAATGTTACTACTAGTATCTGAATTCTTGCGCACAACACCACCTGCACTTTTTCTGAGGTTAGATCGCCCTCTACCTGCAATATCCTGATTGTAATCAATAGAGATACCAGCAGGGTTTTCTGTCCTCCATGAGCCCAAGCCACAGGCCTGGGCCTCCACCTCAGCAAATGTCTTCTTGCTGGAAGAGTCCCGAGACGTGTGGTGGTGGTGGTGGTGATGGTGTATGTGCCGGTGGGTCTCAGTGCCACACAATATCAAGTTACAATTTTCTATTCCGCTATCATGCGAAACAGAAGCAAAGTCCCTCTTCTTGTGATAGCTTCTGTTTAGGTAAGGATTCTGGGCTATTGAGGGTACATTCATACTTTTCTTGCGAGCATCTTTGTGCCGGTCTGGGGACTTGTTATGTGGCGGCGACTGATGCCCTGGAGGTGAGTATGATGGGGTGTGATGAGAGGAAGATGCCCAGATTCGAGAACAATGCTGATCTAGAATGCTCTCAGCTGTTTCTTCTTCCATGGCCACAGGACGGATTAGAGGCATAAATGATGAAGATGTATTTCCTTTATTTAAAACTACATGATCACTGAATACTTCCCCCTTCTCCACCTGAAAACACAATAAAATTATTGACCAATAAGTAAAAATAATGAATCTAAACTGTGTTACAAGCTTTCCATTAGAAAATAAAGAAAAAACAAAGTCAAAAGTTTCTTTTTGAACTTATTCAATAAAACAATACATAGAAAAATCAATGCAAAAAAAAAAAAAAAAAAAAAATATCATAAAGCTATCTAAGAAAATTAATGTCAAATTAAATTTGGCTATCAATATCTACATCAGTAGAAGTGCTTTTATCAAGATTTTTTAAAGAAAGTAAAATTTATCTTTTTAGGACCACCAAGATCTAATTCAACCAGATGGTGCTAACGTTGGTGGAATAAAACAAGTAACAAAATGCAATATAAATATGGGGAAAAGCTATTTTTAAAACAAGACATGTCCACTATTCTAGTCGGTATGAAACATGGGAACTATACTTAAGAAGCACCTACCTCAACAGAATTGATACTTTTCAGCTTCTCTTCCATCTTTGCAGTTGTTTCTCTTTCTTCTAAGACTTTGTTTAGCTTCTCTATAAGCAATTCAGCAAACCTCTTAGGTTCAGCTTCGGCTATATTCCTATCTTTTGGTGCATGCTCAGTACGCTAAGAAAATAGAGAGTCAAATCTTCTTTTAGAGACACTCTGAATATTTCAAGTTATAAGCGAATAAGTTTATACACAATAGGTGTCGCCTAAACCTATTTCTTAAAAATTAGGCAATTTTTTATGTTCTTGAAATGTTCAGTATTTCTTAACTCAAAACAAGAGTTGAAACCAAAAGACACTGCTATTGTAAAAAAAACAAAACAACAACTAGTCATTAAATACTAAGTTCAAGAAATTACATACTGGGATGATCTGTGAATGCAATCCTGTTCTAAGTTCTCTATTCTGCTGGGCTAGGTTTTTCATCACAGCTTTTCTATGTTTTTTTCTTAGCGGATGATGATAACCATCTCTGTGAATAAATTGGTTTTAATTATATTGTTGCCTTTAAAACAATAAATGGATGCCCAATTTGAATTCTACATCATTCAGGAAGTAGTACTAGACACATCTTTTCAGATCATTCAAATTGG